GCGGAGCGCCTCGTGCAACGCTGCCCTAAACTCGAAACGAGACCACTCGGTTTGCAAGAAGTTACGGGTCAAGATGATGAGCACGCGGCGGGAAGCGTCGACCGCCTCCAGGACGACCGGTGCCGGGGCGGAAGCTCGAAGCACGCAGGGCAAGTCACGGTGATGCAAGCAAAGTCTAAGACCCGCGGTTCCGTGTTCGAGTTCCACGGCCAACGAGTGAAGCACGAAGTCCTCGTCGTTGGGGCTGTAGCAGACGTAACAGTCGTACAAGCGTTCGCGGTCAGCGTCGCAGCAGGTGCTCATCGGCGCCGCGGATGGCATGGCCGCGGTTCCACCGGTCGATTTTCCCGGCTTCGCGCGCAAAAATCGTAAGCCGTATTTGGAGTACGCCCAGGCACCGACCGGCTCGCGGAATATGAACGCTAGAACTATGATCACTAAGAGTACCAACACCGCGGACAACGTGGCGGCTACTAGAGGCAGGTAATCGGAAATCATGATACTTTCGATGACGCCACCCTGAGAAAAGTAATCGGAACAGACCGTCTCGTTGACGTTTAATCGACGACGATAAGCGGGCCTCGCGTCCCCGCCGTAATAACACCAAACGTCGCTAGCGTCCACCACTTTGTGCGCGTTGTCCGACACCCACGAGGACAGTTCCTGCAGGAACTTGCAACGACAGGACCACGGATTACTACCAAGAGACAGTTCGACGAGCCTAGCGTTCAGGGTGACCTGCCACACGGGGAAGGTCACCAAACGATTACCGCTTAGTCTTAAGATCTCGAGCGAGTGCAACGGCAAGAAGGTTAAGTTACTGATAAAGCCGATCAGATTGTTCTGAAGATACAGCTCGCGCAGATGCGACAGACGCTCGAACTCGAAGCCTTTCAGCTCGCGTATACGATTGTCCTCGAGGTGAAGAATTTGCAGGTTGTTCAGACCGTTGAACGTGCGATTCTGTATCGATTCGATGCCGCTCGCGTTTACGTAAAGCACCCGCATATTCTTGCGCCCGATGAACACGTGATTTTGCAACTCGCGTAACACGTTACCGTCTAGATAGACCTCGGTCGCGTCCATCGGTATTCGACGAGGTATCTCGTCCACGCCGAGACCGGAACAATCCACGGCGTTCGTCTTCCACGTGCGATCGTTGTAGCACTTGCAGCCGGCCGGGCAGGTCATTTCACAGTCACATGCATCGAAATCACAGCAGTGGCATAGGGCGAAACAATGGGCCTCGTAGCGACAAAGGAACTGCTCGGCCCGCGCCGTGGACGCGGGCACGATAGCGACGCCACGTGGGCCGGATGTACGGCACATTACGTTATCCAGATCCATGATGCGCGGATATTCCCCGGTAGACGTTTGATTGTTGATCGACGGCAGCCAATCCATGGAACAGTTGCAGTTGAACGGGTTGCCGCCGATGTAGAACTCCGGCAGAGGTTTGTCCTCGGGAACTTTGGTGAGAAGCAACGATGTGAGTTCCATCGTCTCGATCATGTTCGCGTACATATCGACCCTGGTTAGGTTCACCTTGTCCGTGAAGGTGTTGGGTCGAACGACGCTGATATAGTTATTGTTTATGAAGAGTAGCTCGACGCTGTCGGGCACGGACAGAGGGGTCAACTCGGTGATACGGTTGTGACTGGCGTCTAACGTCTTCACCTTCGTATCGCGGATCTCGTAGTAGTTGCCTAGGCTCTCGATGAAATTGCCGTGTATGTCCAGCCACTTGAGGTTGCCAGGAATAAAGGCGTAATCGAACCATTCAATGTGATTCTCCGACAGATTCAGCAACAGCAAACTGGCGATGCTGGTAAAGACGCCGTTGATGTCAGACAGGAAGTTACCGTCCAGGCGTATCGCCTCGAGCCGTTCGTTTCGTTCGAACGCGTACCTCTCGACGTGCTGCACCTTGTTCCTGGCTAAATTGAGAATCTGCAGATTGGGCAGATCCCAGAGCATTCCGCGCGACAGATTTCCGATATCGTTGCCGATCAGTCGCAATCCGGTAAGCTGATCGAGATTGCGGAACGAGCCATTGTAAAAACTGCTGATCCGGTTCTCGCCTAGGTCGAGGGTTTTCAAGAGAGCTAGGTCGCGCAGCGCGTCGGGCACGGCCGTAAGCTCGTTACCGCTCAAATCCAGTTCCTTCAAATCGGAACAGTTGCGAAACGCCAACGGGTCGATGCTCGCGATAGAGTTGCCGGACAACGTGAGCCGATTCAGCACGAACAGGCCGTTGAAAAGTTGCGCTCCCACGGTGTGCAGCTTGTTGTCGGACAGCTCGAGGGTGTGCAGATTGTACAGGGGCAGAAAGGCGTTGCTCTCGATCCGATCTATCGAGTTGTTCCGCAAATCGAGAATTTGCAGGAAGAACAGATCCTTGAACATGTGTGCGTCGATATGCGTCAATAGATTGTAGGACAAATCGAGCACGATCAGTCGAATCAGGCCGAGGAACGTGGTCTCGTCGACTCGATCGCTGCCCAACCGATTGCCCGCCAGATTGAGGACCAGCAGCTGCTCCAAACGGGTGAATATACCCTTAGGCAAGTCGCGGAGGCCGTTGTACGCCAGGTGTATCTCTCGCAAGTCCCTCGTACTGGCGAACAGCCCTTCGGGCAACGAATCCAGAGAATTGTAACTGGCATTAAAGGTACGCAGCACGGTCAGCCCGGTGAGCGCATCACCAGCTATTTCGACAATCGCGTTTCGCTGCAGGTGCAGTTCTTGTAGCTGGCGCAGACCTAGCAGCGGGCTGTTCTCGGGCAGGCGATTCAAGTCGTTTCGCGACAGGTCCAAAATGCGAATGTCCGCCCGACAAGGCTCCTCTTTCCCTTCGGGCAAGATGTCCCTCCGATTCAACCCTATCTCGTTCACGTCGCGCAAACGGTTGCCGGTCAGATTCAGCGTTTGTAAATTATCCAGTCCGCAGAGCAGACCTACCGGAAGCGCCTGCACGTTACTCTCGACCAACTCTAGCGTGTGCAGTTCTCGTAGCCCTAGCAGAGAGTCCGGAGCTAGTTCGAGATAACGACCTGCACCCCATACGGCGTTGAACGTTTGCACTGTCAGTTTCTTCAGTTCGAGCAACGGTTGGAACGCGCCCTTCGGGATACGTAGCACCTTGCACCCGTGCACGTGGAGGTCGTGTAAGCTGGTCAGACGTTGCCAGCTTTGCGCGTTGAAGCTGCTCTCGAAATGATGGACGTCGCTGCAACGGATGCGTAGCTTGAAGGCGCCGTCCAACGACGATACGAGGTTGGTGATGGTGCCAGGATCCAACACCCTAAGGGTGCAGTCGGCGGAACGCGTGTCGTTGCCACCCTCGGACAACCACTTGCAAGAGGCCCCGGTTGATTCCGAGAGTATCGTCAAGAGGAGGGCCGCGTTGATCAGCGTCATGAAAACATACTTGGCTGTCATCTTGGGCTGCGACGTCGCGCGGCTCCTAGGCAAAGCTTGCCGATAACGAACGAACCCCGATCACTTTCGGAAATATAGGGAAACTATTCTCACCCCTTGCTCACCCTCCTTCCTCACCTACACACTCGCACAGCGATGACACACGCACGCACATACACACGCGAGCGAGTGCGAGCGCGCGCGCGCTCATGCACCTCCTATCACGTAAGTACGGACCGGCCCATTTCTCTTGCCCTTTTATTCGTGGGCTGGTGGAGAAACACCCTCCTGCCTTACGCTATATTCCACTGTTTCTCACTCGCGAGCTCCTCGGACGTCTCCTCCTTCGAACCGGCGGCTCGTATTTCACCGTCTCTCCTTTCGCACAGACTTTTCTGCCAGTGTCTTTGCCTGGTTCAAATCGCCGCGGCAAATGGATAAGGCACGATCGAACGAAACGACAGAACGAAAACAGTCCGTAGAGAACCGTTTGCGCGAAGCGCTCGTGCACCACCGTACACTCGCCTCGCATCAAGCACCAGCACTGATCCAGCAGACCCGCTGCTGAGCGCGCATCATCGGCATTCCCGACCGTTCCTCTTCGATTTCTATCCCCGACGCCAGAGCGCGCCACTTTTTAGAATATCCTGTCAAGAAACCGACACGAATGGGGAGCAGAATTCAAAGCATATGCGACCATATGCGCGGCGCGTTGGTATGTGCACCGGTTTTATACGCTGCTCCCTGCCGATTGGTGCACTTTTTCTACACCTTTGTACGTGCCAGCCCATTAGTGAATGCCCCTAATCGATGCTGGGGCAAATTTTAAATCCTGCGTTTTATCTACCCGCTCGTTTCGAAGCGACTTGACGCATAATAATTGTCAACTTGCGACGATACCATTTATTGCAACTCGCTTCTTTTTTCGCATTCGTCGAAAGACCGTACTTTTGAGCAGCGACGCTTTACAAGTATACAAGGGATATTGAAATATGTAATTGGGAGACATCTTTTTATTTCGTGAATTATTTAGATTAAATACAAATTTTAGTGGAATTATGAATTAATTTCTCTTCAAATTATGGTATAGCCTCTGACACAGTGTAGTGAATAACGCAAATTAAATCTTAAAGAATTCTCAGAATCGGACGCAGTTTTCAATTTTTTAAATTTTGCGTCTCACAAGTTCATTTTGATCTTAAAAACACAGAAATGTTCAAAATGGTTAAAAGATATTTTTTATTTGAACTTTATTTGAGATTTCGAAATTTTGAATTTTTGTGACATTTTAGAGTTTTAGAATTTTTGAACTTTTTAATTTTGATACTGAAATTTTGTTTTTTTTTTTTAAACTGGAACATTCAGATTTTTGAGCTTTGAGACATTGAAATGACTAAATTTTTTAATTTTGAGAATTTATTCCTATTTTGTGAAAAATGTCTGCTTTGAAAAATATATATCAACCCGATAAATTTTTACGATCTTGCTGTATCATGGCGGAACTGTAGGAACAAGGAAATTCCTAACGTCCACATCTAGAGACATCTCTGTCTTCGCGTTCCAAAACAATCGAATTATTAAAAATATTATTTTTAAACTGCTGTAATTAAACTTTCGTTTTGCAATACTATAAAAATTTAATAACCTATTACGAATTAAGTTAATAAAATATAGATATTTACAAATCTGAGTAGATAATTATAAAATGCGTAGTGATTTACGTAATTATTGTAAATAAAGATTATTCAAAGAAAGTATGTCAATTGTTTATTAAATTTCGTGTACCTGTATATCCTTTTCCGCCATCTAGGGAATACATTTGAAAAACGACGTGTAGCGTCGCCACCGTCTTCGTGTGGCTGTAATTGGTGGAGGACGACGCCAGCGACCAGTTCAATTTCAACCAGAAGCTTACGTTGCACGCTCCTGCGACTTCGTTTGTAGCGGGGAATCCATTTGTCAACATCCAACTTCTTTAAACAGTATACGTTGTTGTCCCAAGGTATTTGCAATCCTATCGCAAAAATGAGACTGATGAATATAACATGCGTTTTGTTGGCTACAACAATCTGTTGTGTCGCGGCCCAGGCTGGTAAGTACGAAATATTAAACGTTCTATTTGCTTTCTTTTTATGTCTATCGAAACGTAGTTTCTATCCAGTTATGTACTACGTATATCCAATGGTTATATACGCAACATTTTTCCGTTCGAGAATTCTCTGGAATTTCTCGTTTTGTCAAATTTCCTGGTACGCTTGGAACATAGCGGTACGATAAACTAATGAATATGAATTAGCGATATCGTCGAGATTTTTAATTCGACGCCGTGGACACCGTTCACTCGTATCGCGAGTCATTGCTGTCTTTCGTTTTGCTGACGCTCGAGAAATATACGCATACTGAAAATGATGCAATTTGTTTTCCATTAGTTTCGATTATTTATTCAGCCCGTTGGATCGGTTACGACACCTTTGTTCACCAGTTTTACACACTATTATCGATTTTATAAACGTGTCTGGCGGGACTTTTTTATAGTTTAAATAATTTAAATTTATTACGGAAAAAGGAAGTTGATTAAGTATAACAAGAGTAAATAAATGAAGCCTGACAGAATTTATTTCCTATACAATTCAAATCACAATAAAAAATGATTTTTCATTAGGTTCTGAATTTATTGTGCACAAGTACATAGTTTGATCCAAGTATTTGCATTAGTAATGCTACTTTTATCAATGTGTAGTATATCAAATATTTATCTCTTTCCCTCTCAATATAATATTGAATCTTTGTACAGCTGCTACAGGAAAGGAAGATAAAAATGCCAGTCAACAGTCACCGGATATAGCTGCTGTTATTCCTCCTAAAAATCCTCCAAGTACCGGACCTGTTGTTCCTCAAGCTACTGAGATTACAAAGAATGCTTCTGCCAATAGTACCTCCAGTGGTAGCACTAATAACACTACCAGTGTTGTAACTAACACTACGAAAGCTGCTAAGTCTACCAAGGATATACCTCTTAACACTACTGTACCCGATGCTGTTACTCCTACTGTTCTCCCTGCTACCAAAGACAGTGTCAAACCAACCGACGCAAGCACCACAGTTAAACCTGAAAATACTACCCAATCAACCGTGTCCACAACAGCAAAGATCGTAACTACTCCTACAATTTTAACAACGGAGGCAACAACAAGTAAAAATCCTACAACTACAGCTCCAAACAATGCATCAAGTGCTGTACCATCACCTGCTACAACTGCGGTTCCAGTGTCAACAAATGTAGCCCCACCATCTCCATCTAAAGAGCGACACTTCGATGGCCTCAGTTTCTTAGGTAGATATTTGATTGTACACACGTTATAGAAAGTGATGATATCATGAAACATTATTTTTCCAGGTGGCATCATCTTAGCTACATCTTTGATGGCAATTGGTGTTCTCTCATGGAAATTTTACAAAACATTCAGCGAACGGGACTACCGCACTCTATGATGCCGCGGAGGACGTCGCTAAATATTCCATTTTCAACAAGTAAACACAGTCGTTTGAACTGAAAACTATGAATTTTACCGTTCCAATATTGCGTATTTTTATAACGCACTTAAGTGTCGCGTGATTTAAGTGCTCTTAGTAATGTGATGTGTAAACGCGGTTCCGTTTCTTTGTACTAAAAAAAAAGGAAAAAACAAAAAGAAATTACACGCTGATATAGTATTGTTTTCTCTGTACTTTCGCACGCGCATTTACGGGAAAGATGTAACAGAGACGTAGGAAATTTAAGGGCACTAGAAAAGAAAAGAAAGATAAAGAGAAATCATAGAGTTTCCCATGCGCATACGCAACAAAGTTAACGACCAATCAAATACACATTCCACAAAATAAGATCAATTCTATGGCATAACAATTCACGTGTTACTTTCTGCTCAAATGAAGATCATTTATAACTGTTTTTTTTTTTTCGTTCTTTTTTATTGTACTCGTTTGTAAAGTATCGTACATACAATGGTGTTAAATTAGTCTAGGAAAATGAAATTGTATACAAAGGTTCCTAAGGTGTATTCACAATTCGAAGTTCAACCAATGTACTACAATGTATGTGGTATGAACAACGGTACAATTCTTGTGAATCTGAATTTGTCGTCGTATTCTTCATCTGTACTCTTCAAGTAATATTTGCTTAAAAGTTTTCGACAATACTTTCTACAAGTTGTCGGGAGGGAGCGACGTTCGTACGAATAAATCGTGGACGCTCCTGTATACGATTTCATTATATAGCATTGTTGTTGGGACATTTTTGTACGATTCCAGAAGGAGATGAAACTTTTTAATTTTGACTTTCTCACCTGTTCAAAGGACAGATTTTGTAACATGACAATTGATGTTTTACTTCACGTTAACACGTACAAGTGTTTATTTTTGTTTTCTTAATGTTAAGTTAAAAAAAATGCGTACGGTAATTTTTGTTTCGTTTTAATTACCAATGTTATTATGGATACACCGTAATCACGGTCGATGATACCGAATCCTAAAACTCCCTCGACACTTTTCAATCCGTTTATGATACGTTCAACATTGTCCGGGTATTTCCGTATGGAACGTGGGTTTTCTCCCATGAGCTTTCCTATAATATTTCAATAAGAGAAAATTGTATAGTTTGGGGAAAACTGGGCTTCTCTTAATTAAACATAAGTGTGGAAGTATTTGGTCATTTTCCAGATTTATTTTTTTGTAGTTTTGGATCTCCGTTCTTTTCGGGACATTTCTGATTATTTGAAATTTTCTTAGGATTCTAAGTTCTGGAGATTCTCAGTTTTATACAGAACTTAGATTTTTCTGAATTTCCTCCCTGTAATTTTCCTGACATCCCTCTGTGTTTTCCTTGAATTTTTCCCAAGTTTCTTGGATTTTCCTTAAAACTCGTAATTCCCCTAAGTTTTCTCTGGGATTTCCCAAGCCCGACTGGTGGGGAAACTCCTCCCACGCTTATCTTTAACCAAGAGAAGCCTGCACATTGCACCCAAGTGTACAAAAACAAGTCGAGGTGATTTTTGAGGGAAACGTACCTAAATAACTTTGGAAACATATTAAAAATCGAAGATATAACTTACTACTATATAAGAAAAGATATATTATATATATAGATATATATTATAAAATACAGCCTAAAATATTATTTACGTTTCATGTAATATTTTAACAAGCCATGTAAAATACTTGCTTATATCAAATATACAATATTAATACTATGCAATCAATCTAAGAATTATTTAGCATGTCGTACCCAGCTCTTTCCAATCTTCCGATACAATGTTATCGATCATTCGTTCGACTCTATTATCTTCATCTACGATCTCGTTGATCATTTCAATCGTTTCTTGGGAAAAGAGGAGTTGAATCATCGAATCGCCGTGAGGATGCGTTCTCCATCGCGACGATGTGTTGAACAAAGTCAACACTTCGTTCTTGTTTTCGCTCGTACAAGACGTCGATGTTTCTTTGCCGCATTCGATGAAGGCGAAGTCAACGTCCATCGAGTGCCAATCGTAAATTCCGATGTCGAGAGACTTCGCGTCGAACGTGAAAATCTTGTCGTTACATCCTACGACAGAGGTCAAAATGTCCCCGAGACGGACTTCGCAAGGGTACGCTGCTTTTTTCTCGGCCAAATGGCATGCCAGTGTTTTCTCGAGAACGTTGCCAGTGTACGTGTTCGTGATCGCTTCGAGAAACGTGTACAACGCCACGACCAAGGCGGAGCTACTCCCAAGACCGCGTTTCATCGGCACGTTGGACGCGATTACGATTTTAAATCCAGGAACGTGTGCTGTTAACAGTATCGATCGCGTTTCAACGAACACACGTATAACACACACTTTCTGTACCTTACGTATTTCTTTTTATCAGTCGTTTGCATGGGCTTTAATCATTTATGCGTTAGATTATAACAAGGATATTAATTTTAATTTACTAGGGTATGATTAGCTGCGTATTTGTACTGTTATTAAGTTACATTATTATTACTGGAGTAATATTTTATTAATTTAATCACTGATATTACTATTTTTGTAATTTTGGGTTGTGAGTAGAGTATGATTATTTATGTATTTGTACTGTTATTAAGTTATGTTATTATTACTGGAGTAATATTTTATTAATTTAATTACTGATATTACTATTTTTGTAATTTTGTGCTATAAGTATGTTATGGATTTAGTACAGTGATATTTCAATGTGTGCTATTGTATTACTATAGATTTGTAAAAGGTCACTATACTACTTCTATTATATTATACTGTTTACTATGTTACTGTGCTTGCATGCTACTATTCTGTTATTATACTATTCTCATTGTATTTTTTTAGTACATCACTGTACCACAACACTATTACTATACTATTTTATTATTTTATTATGCTAGTAAATTATTATATCATTCTACTATCTTACTGTTCTATTTAAATAAATATTTCAGTACTACTACACTGTCATTGTACTATATTATTATATTAATAGACTATTACTCCATTTTGTTAATTCTACAATACAAATATTATTATTTTAATAATATAAAGATACAGATATACTATTTTATCCTATTACTGTAATATTCCACCATATTATTATAGATCAACTCTTCTGCTATTTCATTATTCCACCATCTTGCTATCATATTTAACTGAATGAGCTTTTTACTGTCAGTGTGACACTCCTCCATTATACTTTGCAATCCTCATTATACTGCTATGCTATTACTCTGTTATATTACTCTTCTAACTTTTGCTAATTCAATAATAGAAATGTATTATTGTCTTAATATTCTAATATTCTACTTCATTATTGTTCTACTGTTGTACTATATAATTATACTACTTTTTTTATCATTTTACAAATTCAATTATTAAAATGTATTATAGTCTTAATATTCCAATATTCTACTTTATTATTCTTCTACAGTTGTACTATATAATTATACTACTTTTTTATCATCTTACTAATGCAATAATAGAAATGTATTATTGTCTTAACATTCCAATATTCTACTTCATTATTGTTTTACTGTTATGCTATATAATTATACTACTTATCTATCATTTTAGTAATTCAATAATAGAAGTTTATTATTGTCTTAATATTCCAATATTCTACTTTATTATTGTTCTGCTGTTGTACTATATAATTATACTACTTTTTTATCATTTTACTAATTCAACAATAGAAATGTATTATTGTCTTAATATTCAAATATTCTGCTTTACTATTGCTTTACTGTTGTACTATACAATTATACTATTTTTTCATTATTCTTCTATAATACCATATCACTAAGCATTACTACCTAATTTTATTACAACTACAATAAGACTCAGATTTATATACACAAAGTACTTGAGCGTTTCACGTTTCGAGTTAATACTCATAATTACACAGAATAAATTACAGTAAACTCTCATTATATTACCAATAGGCGTTAATAGAACGTATGCGGTCTAATGCGTAGTAATACAACGCGTGCCAAATTAACGCACGGCAATTGTAACAAAATTATTACTACATACGCTTAAATTTTAACAGATAATTTATACTACCAGAATATGAAATAAATTATGAATAATCAGTTTATCACCGCTAAAATGTTCTTCTATTTTAACACCCATAATGTATTTCGGATTAGATATACAGTAAATCCTCGTTATTATTTCCGTCATTAATTCGTTCTAAAAATTTTAACCGTACAATCTCATAAATTTAAAAATCCTCAATTTTTAGAGATTAATTTTAAGTCAATGATATATGTTTCTAAATAATTTTTTGTATAATCTGTTTGTAAATAAATTTTATTACAATATGTTTGCAAATAATTTTTTAAATAGTGTGTCTGTAAATAAATTTTAGAATAACGTGTTTGTAAATAATTTTTAAACTAATCTGTCAGTAAATAAATTTTATAAAAACGTGCTTCTAAATCATTTTTTAAATAATGCGTTTGTAAATAAATTTAAGAACAACGTATTTGTAAATAATTTTTTAAATAATCTGCTTGTTAATAAAATTTAAAATAACGCGTTTGTAAACAAATTTTAGAACAACACGTTTGTAAAATATTTTTAAAATAATGCATTTGTAAATAAATTTTAGAACAACGTACTTGTAAATAATTTCTAAAATAATGCACTCATACATAATTTTTAGAATATGATACTGTGTTAAATAATAATTGAAAATGAACAGGTTTCACGTATTAAAAAATACAAAACACAAATAAAACTTTTATTCGCACAATATTTTACACAAATGTAGACACATTTAAATACTAATTAGCTATATGATTTACGTACGTCTCTTAGTTGCCTCACTATACATATTGTTGCATATGTATATCTCCTAAAATATACTTTCTAGGCAGTGAAAGTAAAAATAAAAAAGCAAATTTTAAAAATAACGCAAGTGTGCACAAGAATCGAGGACTTACTGTACTATAACAAAATGGACATATACCTCGTCTGGCCTTGAAACTTAGTATCGTTCCCTTTACATATCGCAACCACGGAGTTATTTCCGCGGATAAGTCTAGCGACTCGTCGTTCAAACGAATGTCGGATACTCTGCAGCCCGCAATTTCGTCCGACAATGTTTTAACGTTACACCATTTGTTGCCGTGGCTTCGTGTGCCGACTATCAAAGTGACAAGTTGTACCGCCTGTTTTATTTCAACGAGAAAGATAAACGAAGACGTACGCGCCATGTTACACGGCCATGAAAATTAAAAGAGGTATTTACATCGTGGAAACTTGCACATACCATGGACAATGATTTGCTCTCCACGAGATTTGTATTTTTCCCGGCCACCGTTAGACTTCCGGGCGCGAACACTGCACAGGTTGGATAGCTTCCGTAATAATTATTAAATTCTTTTTCGGCTTTCGACTTTAATTCGTCCACGCTGGACACCAACGAAACTTTCGACGAGAAATCATCGTTTAAATATGGCTTCACTATTTTGTAGTAATCTTTAAGAAACTATATTAAACGATTAACAAAAACTTCTATTACAAGTATATGTCATTTTGTGAACTTGTGATGTAGATTTCAAATTTTTAGTATGGAGGACAAAATGTATACTTGAAATGTAGAAATAAAAGTAAGAATATTTTCTATATTATTAAGTATATTTAAACATATGTAGCTGTATATTATATATAACATTTACAGCAACAAATGACCCAAAACTGAAGGCAATAACATTATGAGTAACTTGAAATGATTTGAAATTCACGAGACCGTAAGAAATCGTCGAGACAAAAGTATTCATTAATATACAGCTACTCATGATTAAATATACTTAATAATATAGAAAATATTGTTCTTTCTATATTTTAAGTGTATGTATACTTTTGTCCTCCACTGTAATTATAGCAACACGAGGTTGGTACCAAAAGTTAACCCTTAACCTACAACTTTCTGCGTCATGCTACAGTATCAAGGCAACTAAAGTTAAAATAGTAAGTAAATTTCTTCAGCGATCCTCGATTAGTAGAATTGTACCCAAAATATAATTGCAGTGTAAACACGAGTGTTTTATTCTACGTGTGCGTCACGACATTGTAGGACAAGGGGTTAAGCCTTTCAGTATCGCGAATTCTTACTTTATCTTTTGATAAATTGTCGTACGCGTAACGGCCGCATGGTGTATGGATATTACGGGATTTATCGTTCATTTCAACGCGAGAAAAAGGGTCCAATGAACGGATCAACGTGTTTCGCGATTTGACATTTTCGATCGAAGAAATAAAAAACGGTCGTCCTCTGTTTTTCTTCTTTGATTTGTTTCTAGCATCGGGCTTCAATCAAACGTGTAGAAATGGAATCGTATATTTTTCCTTGAACCGTGCGTCTGCAAAAATCGAACTAGTCACATCGCGGTTACTGTATTCTTCGATTTTTGTTACGTAAAACGTAATATCCACGTTATTTGCGCAGCGACGAGATAGAAACGAAATGAAGAGATAAGAGATGCATTGCATCCGCTGTATCGATCATTCCTGCAGAGAATCATTCGATTTTCGTAACAGAAGTGTACGTAGAAATAAATATTGACGTAAGCACGGATACGTTATCTGCGTTAGCGTTTGTTTCCGAATACGTTAACCGTTGGTATTTTGCTGCGACTGGAAATATGAAGCAGCGGTATCTTTTACCGGTTACGCTTATGTTACTGGCGATAGTATAACGGAAATTACGAGTATATCGGTATGAAATGGCCATATGCTGTATATGCGCAACCATGCGGTACGATAATTAGTTGTACGTCACGAACATCACGTAATTATCACACAGTGAGGCATTCACTTGTGGAAGATACGTTATGTAAATTTTAGCGAAATTGATGTGGAAGAAAGTTGCAGACTGAAAAAGAAATGGGAGGTTTATAAGTTTGTTAGAAAATTTAGGAATATATGTTTTTTGTATTGATGCTTGTATACGTGGGGGTGTATTGTGGAAATTATAAGGGAGGTTTTATATTCATATATTTGTCAAATTCTTAATTTCTTGATTTTCTAATTGTTCAGATTCCCCACTTATCAATTTTTTAATCTCAGTCTTCTAATTTCTTAATTCTATAAATTTTCCAATTTCTCCATTTTCCAACTCCTCAAATATCTAATTACTTAATTTTATAATTTACAACTTTGGAGATTTTTAAATTAATAAATTCTTGAACTCAAAAATTTCTAAACCTTCCTATTTGGAAATTTAAAAATTCCCACACTTGAAATTTTTTTAATTAAAAAATTAAAGTGTACTGATATTAAAAACCACAAATTATAACGTTGCATGTAAATGAACAAATATTAACAATATTAATAAATAGTAACATGAATAAATATTGACAGCTCTAATTACAAAATAACAATTATATATTTACATATGTAATTCTGTAAAATATTTATATAGATATGTTATAAAAATGTAAATCGACAAAACGGATTAAAAGAAGTACTAGAAAAGGATTTATGACACCACGCATTGCTTTATTTATTCAAGAGGAGAGAAAGTGGTGATTCTAGGCTCGTAGATTCAAGGTGTGTAGCTTAAGACTTAATTATACTAAAATCATATTATAACGCAAAGAAAAATATCCGTGCGTTACGCTGAGACATTGTACGCATGCTTGAAAAAAAGGCAGAAAAATATTATATATGTACTTTTACAATGATAGTACAGTAAAACCCTAATTAAGGGACAATTTTTAAGGGATACACACAACCTTATACGTCATCATTGTCGGAGCTTCGGCAACTTTTTCTTTGATTATTTTCTTTGTAAAAATCTACTGCGCATATCTATCTCTTACGGTTTAGGACTGCACTGGGGATCAAGGTTCACTGATTAACTCCCCGTGCATAGCACATGATCCACTACTTAGTAATTAAACGATTATGCAATAAATGTAAGTATGAGTATGAGTACGAGTATAAGAATGAGTATGAGTATGAGTATGAGTATGAGTATGAGTATGAGTATGAGTGTGAGTGTGAGTATGAGTGTGAGTGTGAGTGTGAGTGTAAGTGTGAGCGCGAGAGTGAGTATGAGTGTAAGTATAAGTATACGTATAAGCATACGTATAATTAAGTTATGCACTGTATGAAACGTGATAAAAATAAAAAACAATTTGTCACCAACTATTGTGTATTTATTGTTACCTAACAACCCCAACAGAATAAAAATGTACATATTCGAAATAGAGAACTTGTGTCAAGAGAATATGAGAATTTTTGGAATTTGCTGTCATCAAAATTCAAAGAAGTGGTACGAAAGATACCTCCACAAAACTCATGTTCTCCTAATCCAAATTTTCAAAAATCGCAACCAAGAAGTCTTTGAAATGTGCACAAAATTCCAAGAAGTGGCAGGAAAGATACTTGGTATCAGGAGAACATGAGATGCGAGGAAGTGGCACGATAATCTGTGGAATTTAGTGACCGGATTTCGGAATTTGGTATCAGGAGAATATGACATGAGAGGAGGTGGC